AAGAGTCTACACAAACCACAGCCTCATAAACACTAAGATCAGAAGTGGTGCCTGGCTACCACTACCAACAGTTCTCATCAGGAACCCAATAAACAGACCCTGATAAAATGGGGAAAAAATGTAGAAGAGAACCTCAAATTCCTAAGGGAAAAAAAAAAAAGACGGACTTACTAGACTGGCTAAGACTGGAGGACTCCTTAAGACTACTACCCTAAAATACTCTTAAACCATCAAATGTCACCTTTGAGGCTACCTTTCAGCTAAATAACAGACTGGCTAACAAAATAAAGAATATCACCCATGAGTACTATGCACCTTTAAAAAAAACGCTTCTATATGAGACCAAATGGTCAACAATTACTTTAAAACAAAGATGAGAACACAGGGGGCAGTGAAACTAGATTAATGGAAATGGAACAACCAGAATGAAAACACTGACAATGTTCACACACCAATGTCACTGATCAAGCTGTGTGGAAATTGTTGAATGGGAACCTAAACTGCTATTGTACAGTAAACCTTCACAAAAAACACAGTATTACTTTTTAAAAATTGTAACTTTCCCAATAACCAAAAAAAAAAAAAAAAAAGGAAAGAAACAGTAGCATACACAAGAAACTAGTAAGAATGGTTATCCATGGGGACATGTTAGAACAAGGACAGGGGAGATGTGAGATATCTCAATGTCTACCAATATTTTGAACCACAGAAACTATTATTATCTATTCAAAACAATTTGAATTACACATGAAGAAACTGTTGAAATGGCAAATGTTCTGTGCATATATTACCACAATAAAGAAACTAGTTAATTAATGCCTTTGATGCATATACTGCCAAAAATATAAAACTGCTTTATGATTTTAGGAAATGTTCTGCTGAATAAAACTGCCACATCTTATCAATGAGTTAACAAGTTTTTATTTCAAACTCCCTACCATGTACCATGGGAGCTCTGGTAGCATAGTGCCTAAGGCACTTGACTGCTAACCAGAAGGCTGGTGGTTCAAACCCACCAGCCACTCCTCGAAAGGAAGGTTGGACAATCTACTTCCGTAGTGATACTGCCTCAGCAACCCAAGGAGGGGTCGATATGAGTCAGGTCTGACTCGATGGCACATAACAACCACCACCACCACCATGTACCATGTACCATGCACCATGCACCATGCACTAAGCACAGTGAAAGCACCTTGACTACCATGTCAAAGATATGTAACAGTGTGCAAAATCCCCATTTACTCTGAATTTTGATAGTCATGTCTTTAGCCTATGGTAGGAAATAAGTATAGAAATAAATCTGAAATAAGAAAGGATGTTTTGATATTTAAAAATAGGATTCAATTCTCTGGACAGAAGTAGGACTGATTTTTTAGGTTAAATAAGAGCTAAGTGTTAATTTCTAGGATTTGACATTTGTTCTCCTAAGGCACGACACTTCTTTCATGTGGATCAAAGTCCCAGGCCAAAACTAAATTATTATTATTCATGACACCCTGGAAAAATAACAGGGTCCTTAGCACTGATTTTAGCCCTTACTGTATATTCCCCCATTCCTTCCCATAACTACCCTACAGACATACATACACTCCTTGTCTCCTCCTTGCCAAATAATGTTCCTTCTGTCCTATCACCTACTCTAAACCAATGGCTTTCAAACTGGGTTCTGCATCACTGAGTAGCATGCTTGGGATCACCCAGAGAAAAGATGGAAAGTATTGAAGGAGAGGCCACGGAGACAGAGTTCTGATCTCACTATTCTGAGCTATTCAGAGCAACTCCATTTTTAATTATTTTATATACCGGTGTTTTGCATAATCTTTCATTGGGAAACAAAAGGGGATGTAGGGGGAACGCTGCTGCTACAAAACCAAATTAAAACCACTTATCTGAATGAGATAAAAACTACTACATATGAACTAACAAGTGGAAACACATGGGACAATGACTAAAGCAAAAACATTAATCTACAAATTTAGGTTCCTGCTCCAAGTAATCCAGAATTAAAGAAATTTTAATTTAAAATTTAAGGCACTTCTGAAACTGCATGCCTCTCTAGGAGCTACCTGAATCCAAACACTGAAGTTGGATCAGATACACACTATCTTCAAGGATAAAGAAGCAAAATAGTTCTCATAATGTACTCACTCAAGTACATTTACTTTTCTCTATATAGTAAACACAGTATTATATATAATGGCTCAAAAATTAATATAACTTCTACCTTACCTTCCGGTCATCAGGTACCAGGTCTTGAAGTACTTTTCTCTTAGGCCATTCTTTGGCCAGTTCTGCAGTGGCCAGCTCCTGCAGGTGGTATACAGCTATCTTCGCAGAACGCCTCTGAACTCGGCCCCCACTCTTTGACTCTAGGCTCATATCCTTTAAGCATTCTGGCTGTCCTGACTCAGAGAAGAAGGGGATCTACAAGAATGAGACACAGCAAAAAACAGGCCTTTACTCAGAGCCAGTGATGAACAGCTATTCTTTCTGTTATAAATATCAAGAGGTTATTCACTGGCATGCTGACCCCTAAAAGCAAGCTTCACCATACTCATGCATATTTTACTGGTAAAACAAACAAACAAAAAAAGACAAAATCTTCTTAGCAGAATAAAATCTGCTATTATGAAAAGTAGATAGAGTCATTCACATGCAAAAAATGAACCTTCACCTATACCTCACACCATACACAAAAAGTGAAACAAATAACACAAAATAGATCATAGTGCTAAATGTTAAAAGCCAAACTGAAAATTCCTAGAATATATGGCATCCTGAATGTGGCAGTTTTTATTGATGTCTAGGCTTAAATAACTGTATCTAGTTATTTAATCAACCATCCATCTAGATATTTCTGTAAAGGTATTATATAGATACAATTAAAGTCTATCATCAGTTGACTGTAAATAACAAAGATGCAGTGTGCAGTGAAAGGAAAAAAGAAAAATAAATAAAAATAAAAATAAAAAAACCAATTGCTATCGAGTCAATTCTGACTCATAGCAACCCCCTTTGAGGATTCCGAGGCAGTGAATCTTTATGGAATTAGATTGCCCAGTCTTCCTTCTGCAAAGTGGCTGGTGGGTTTAAATTGCCAGCCTTCTGGTTAGCAGTCAGATGCCTTAGGCACTATGCCACCAGGTTCCTTCAATTGACCTTTAGTGAAATAAAAAACTTTTGGCTCTTAAAAAACACTGTTAAAAAAGATGAAACAATAAATCTCAGATTGGGAAAAAATATTTGTAAAACATGTATTTGATAAAGGACTTGTAACCAAATTATCTTAAAAAAAATCCTCAAATGGAGGCTAAGACGACAACAAAAAAAAACAATTGAAAAAATAAAAATTTCAAGGGACACTTCACTAAAGAAATACAAATGGACAAAAAACATATGAAAAGATGGTCAAATTATTAGTCATTAGGGAAATAAAAATTAAAACCATAATAAAATACACATCTGTTAGAATGGCTTAAAAAAATTAAGCTGGCAAGGATTCTGAGCAACTAGAATTCTCGTATTTCACTGGTTGGAATACATATTGGCATAACCACTTTGGAAAACAGTTTGGCAGTTTCTCATAAAGTTAAACATACATTTACCATATGACCCAACAATCCCATTCCTAAGTATTTACACAAGAGAAATCAAAACTTATTTTTACACAAAAATCTTAATTGAATGTTTATAGCAGCTTTATTTAGAACTACCAAAATTTGGAAGCAACCCAAATGTTCTTTAACTGGTGAATGGATAAACTGAAATATCCATACAATGGTATACTACTCCATATACAAGAGAATATAAACTAATGATACACGCAACACATGGATGCTTTATGCTAAGTGAAAGAAGCCAGACTCAAAGGGCTGCAAACTGTAAGATTCCATTTATATAACATTCCGGAAAAGGCAAAACTACAGGAATAGAACATAGATCAGGGGCTGCCAAGAGCTGGAAGAAGAGGAGAAGGTTGACTATAAAGGAACAGAGAATTTTCGGGAACAGGGGAGGGTGATAGGAATTTTGGGATATGATCAAACTGCTCTGTACCTTGGATGTGGTAACAGTTACATAGCTGTGATTGTCAAAAGTCCTGTAAATATAAACTAACAAGGGTGACAACATGTCAATTATAACTTAATAAACTTGACTCTAAAAGATACTGTATATTACTAAGCATGGCACATGATATTTCTACATATGTATTTGTATGTGCTGTAAGAATGTCCCTGTATATAGAAGTAACAGCAGGCAAAGTTACGCTAACTCCTTAGCCACAGCTAGCCACCCTGAAGGAGCGAGTTATTAGGCCTGCGACCTTGGGAGCATGTCACAAGGGACATCAAGCTCAACTGGCCTAACATACTACACAAAAACATTGTTCTACATCCTACTTTGGGAACTCTGGTAGCATAGTGTCTAAGGCACTTGACTGCTAACCAGAAGGCTGGCTATTCAAACCCACCAGCTACTCCTCAGAAGGAAGGCTGGGCAGTCTACTTCTGTAGTGATACCACCTCAGGAACCCAAGGAGGGGTTGCTATGAGTTGGGTCCTACTCGACAGCACATAACAACAACAACATCCTACTTTGGTGAGTAGCAGCTGCGATTTGAAAAGCTTGCAAGCAGCCATTTAGATTCAACAATGGGTCTGTCCTCGTGCACAGGAAAGAATGATGAAAACCAAAGATGCATGGAAACAATTAGCCCAAGGGACCAGTGGACCATGCGAACCTCTTAGTCTATATGACCACGAGATCGGAAGAACTAGATGGTACCTGACTACCACTGTCAACCACTCGGAAAGGGATCAGTGCAGGAGATCCTGGATAAAGTGCGAGAACAATGTGGAACAAAACTCAAAATCATAAAAAGACCAGGTTTACTCGTCTGACAGAGGCTGATGAAACTCCCAAGACTAAGACCCCTTTTTATCCATTAGGTCTGGAACTGAACTCACTCCCATGGCTTCCAGTCAAACAACAGACAGGCATGTAGGGTGAACATTTACACCAGATACACACACTCCTTAGAACGATCATGGGAGAACAGAAGGGCACTATCTGTACAGGGAGATAGCTCAGGGGACAGGAATGCATAGGAAAGAAGGGCACGGGGAAGAAGTAACGACAGGGAGGAAGAGGGAAGAGAGCTGTTACACTGTGGGGAACTGCAGTCAATGTCATGAAACTAAATGTGTATGAACTGCTGTATTTAAAATGAAATTCCTCTGTAAACTTTCACCCAAATCACAATAAAAATTAAAAAAAAAGATTCTGTTTATTAAACAAAAAAAACACAGAATGGAGGAGCCTGGAAATGTAATCAGGAAAAAAACATTCAAGACCAAAAAAATAAATACTGAAAAGAATAAATAAAATACTGAAAAGAATAGGTCAGGAGAGATTCTCACAAAATTCTAGCTAAGGCAGAATGCCTTGAGCCTTGCAAATATGACTTTACTTCTGTCCCAGACTCACCCTGAACTTTTATTTCTCTAACTTAGTAATGTTCAAAAGGCAGAAATAAGAACAAAGGAAGAACAGAATCATTCAAAGATTAAAGGGGGACACAAATGAGGAAATAAGGATATATGGAAAGATATAAGGGTAAGCAGTCACCACAGGATACATCCCCAAAGAGGGTCTGGAAAGCAATTAGTACTCACAGGCCCATGCTCTGACCTCAGATGATACGCAAGTCCAGCCTTCGATTTATATGGCTTTTCACAGTGATGACATTTTAGGGTCATCTTCTCCAGCTCTGCAGCCTCTTTGCCACATTTTCTGACATGGTACATGTATCCCATAATGCTGGTGAAGGTACTAGAGCAACTCTAAACACAGAAGAGAGGGCTTACATCTTTTAACATGATCTCTAAACTTCCAAACAGTCACAAGGCATTCATACCACGTTATACAAATAGACCCTCTGATGACCCAAGACCCTCTCGAATATTTCCCATTGGCGCAACACTTCCTTGTCCCTCGCTTAACATAAATATCACTATTTATGATATTCATTCAGTTTAGTTGGCATTCAACAAACTATAACTAGGTACAAACTCTGTGTCAAAGCTTCCTCCTTGTTCTGTGATCCAACCCCACCCCAGTATCAAATACTAAGCAACATTAAACTTCATCACATTGAGATTACTGGGAATGCCTTCAGCAACTAAAGAATAGTAAAGAAACCCCTTTGAACAAAAAGAAAAGGAGATAAAAACAAATTTAGGAGATGGGAAAAAAAAAAAAAGAAACCTATTAATGAGTTCAGAAGACGTACAAAAGCAGAAACCAGCCTTATGCCATAAGATGGTAGAAAAATAGGAGGCTTCCAAAGGAGTCAAAGGAAAGTGGAAAACAACAGAAAGACATTGACCTGAGACTCCAGGGAGGAGTGACTGTCCTTGGGCTCTTACCTCACGCATGCACCTGATCTTTCCTAGTCTCTTCAGAACTGTTCGGAGTCGTTCTCTCTCAGTTGGCTCATCTAACTCACCTCCAGCCTTCAAAATGGGCTAGAAAACAAGGGAAGCAAACAAGCAGGTAATTCGTAGCACAGACAAAATTATATCATAGGAGAGCTACACTTCTGGTAAGATGGAGGAATAGGCAGACAAGTGACACACACTCTCTTCAACAAAGAAAAGAAAAACCGATTGACAGAGATACAGAAGATAATCTTGGAACCCTGAGCTTTGAAAGGAACTATACAGAAGTGGATTAGGCACCAACTAGTGGAAAAACCTGAACGAAAACACTGACTACAGAGACGGTTGGAGCTGCGGACTGTAAACTACTCTGATGAGACCAACAGCCTGAATATTTCCAAGTGGTGTTGGGACCTGAGAATTAATCTAAAGATCAGTCCCAGTCACTAAGGGCTACAGAGACAAACTGCTCTGGTGGCCTATGACTAGGAAGAGAAACAGCAAGGAGGGAGACAACCTGAGCTGTGGACTTTCTGCTGTCTGGAAGGTGCAGCCATTTTGGATATTTGAAGTGACAGAAGGAGCAGCCATTTTGAATGTTTACAAGCAGCAGCCATTTTGGATATTTAAAGTGACCAAGGGCGCAGCTATTTTGAATGTTTATAAGTGGCAACCATTTTGGATTTTAAAGTGATAGCATTCTCATTAGGATTCCAGGGACCTAAGAACAGGCTCTGTTTGCCAGGGTTGGTAAGGACATACGAGAAGTTGACAAGCTGAAAGGAATGAGTGGTGAGTGTATAAGTGCTGTCAACCAGTGAATAGAGGAGCACAGCACAGTACTGACTATATAGATAACATATAAAGAAAACGAAAATTGTGGGCAAGTCACTCCAACATATAATAACCAATTAAATATAAACAAAAAACGTCACAATGCCTCAGAGACAACAGAGCATCACAGTCCACAAAAAGAAGCAAGATAAAGCAGGAGAAACAAGGGAACAGGATACAGACCCAAAACACATCCTCGAGGAAGACGCAACATTGGAACTCCCTGATAAGGAATTCAAAAGAATCATATTTAGGTATCTTCAAAGGACTGAAAAACAGACCAAAGAAAACACAGACAAAACCCTAGAAGAATTTTGGAAGAAAATACAAGAACAAAATGACAAAATAAATGAAAAATTAGAAATGATTCTAAATCTACAGACAGAAATCCAGAAGATTAATATGAAATTGCCAGAAATAGGTAACACATTGAAAGGGCAAAGGAGTAGAACTGATGCAATGGAAGACAGAATTAATGAGATTGAAGACAAATTCCTGAATACTTCTTTGGAAAGGGATCAATCAGAAAAAGATCAAAACAAAATGAAGAAAACCTAAAGTTCACGTGGGATACCATCAAAAGGAATAACCTACGTGTCACTGGAATTCCAGAACAGGAAGAGAAAAACGAAACCATTGAGAAAATTGTCCAAGATTTGTTGGAGGAGAACTTCCCTGATATGATGAAAGATGAGAATATAACCATTCAGGAAGTTCAACAAACCCATACAGGATTGACCCCAAAAGAAAAACACCAAGACATATCATCATCAAACTCACCAAAACCAAAGACAAAAAGAAAGAATCATGAGAGCAGCATGGGAAAAACAAAAGGTTACCTACAAGGGGCAACCATTAAGACTAAGCTCAGATTTCTCAATAGAAACCACGCAGGCAAGAAGACAGTGGGACAGTATATATAAAACACTGAAAGAGAAAAATTTCCAACCAAGAATTAGGTACCCAGCAAAACTGTCCCTCAAATATGATGGTGAAATTAGGACATTTCCAGATAAGCAGAAATTAAAGGAATTTGTTAAAACCAGACCAACCTTACAAGAGATGCTAAAGGGTGCCCTTTGGACAGAGAAGCAACAATAGTCAACAACAACTGACCATTAACACATATGATGATATAACCCAGAAACCAACCCAGCTATGGAAGTATCCAAAGTAAATAAGCCTACAAAATTGTAAACAGGGAACCAGAGACACCAACTGACAAATGAGGGCAACTACAAACCAAAAAGAAGGAAAAAAAATCCATGTCGTTACAGAACTTCTAGATGGTAGGGAAGTGAAGACAACTACAAGATAGAACGGACTGTTCTACACTTGGGAAGAAAACTATAAATCAGGAGCTCTGGTAGCATAGTGGCTAAAGCACTTGACTGCTAACCAGAAGGCTGGCGGTTCAAACCCACCGGCCACTCCTCGGAAGGAAGGTTGGGCAATCCTACTTCTGTAGTGATACTGCCTCGGAAACCCAAGGAGGGGTCGCTATGAGTCGGGTTTGACTCGACGGCACATAACAACAACAACCTCAAAGAAAAATGATAAATCTTCATATCAAAATAAAAAAGAGGACCAGCATAAATATTCAGCAAATACTAAAACAATAGCAATGAAGCATGACTCATAAACAAAACAAGCTCAGCATAGAAAATTATATGGAACAAAGAAATTGACACAATGAAAAACCACATGACAAAAATGACAGCAACAAATTCATACTTGCTGATAATTACTTATCTGGCAAGACACTTATCTCTAAGATTGATGGAAAACTCCAACGCCTCAACACCAAAGGAATTAACGATCCAATTGAAAAATGGGCAAAAGACATGAATAGACACTTCACCAAGGAGGATATTCAGGTGGTCAGCTAATACATGAAAAGCTGCTCACAATCACTGGCCATCAGAGAGATGTAAATCAAAACAACAACGAGATACACCATCTCACCCCAGCACTGATGGCAAGATTCAATGAGACAGAAAGTAACAAATGCTGGTGGGGATGTGGAGAGATTAGGACTCTCATACACTGCTTGTGTGACTGTGAAGCGACACAACCATTGTGGAAAGCAATATGGTGATTCCTTAGAAAGCTGGAATTAGAGACACCATTTGACCCAGCAATCCCATTACTAGGTATATATCCTAGAGAGGTGAAAGCCAGGATAGGAACAGATACATGTACGCTCATGTTCATCGCAGCACTATTTACAACAGCAAAAAGATGGAAACAACCTACGTGCCCATCAGCGGAAGAGTGGATGACCAAACTATGGTACGTACACAATGGAATCCTATGCAGCACTAAAGAATAATGTAGAGTCTGCTCAATGTGAACTGCTGTATGGAAAGTGAATTTGCTCTGTAAATCTTCACCCAAATCACAAAAAAAAAGAAAAAAAGTAGAACAGAGTCTGCAAGAACCCCGCATAATATGGATGAACTTGGAGGACATTATGCTGAGTGAAGTAAGTCAATCACAGAAGGACAAATATAGTATTAGTTCGTTGTTGTGGAGGGTCAAGGAAAGGTTTATATTTGGAGGGAAACTTCCTTTGTTGGTTGCCAGGGGTGGGAGGGGAGGGGAGGGAACACTGCAAAAAAAATAAAAACTCACTGACTCATGTCACCTTAGTTTTGTGTACTTCACTGTACATAAATTATATTTCAATTAAAAAAAAAAAAAAGAAACTTAATTATATCATAGGAGAATCAAGGACTGGGCTAGCAGCTAAGCTGAGGCTGGCTTTCTCCATCTTTTCCTAGACAAATAAGGAAGTGAATGCAAAGGAAGTAAGAGTTCTGAGCCTCTGTCTCACAGGATATGACCCTTTGGGGCAAAATGAAACACAGAATTACCTATGGATTCCACCACAGATTTCACTATCTATAATTCTTCTATTAAAAGAGTCTCCTTATTCACATGCCAATAAAGTCCTAGAGCCTTAGCCCCTCCACTGAGATATTTCTACTCATCTAAGTAAAAGACAGGAGCTCTGGTAGCACAGTGGCTCAGGCACTTGACTGCTAACAGAAGGCTGGCGGTTCAAACCCACCAGCCACTCCTCGGAAGGAAGATGGGGCAATCTACTTCCGTAATGATACCGCCTCGGAAACCCAAGGAGGGGTCGCTATGAGTCGGGGCCGACTCAACAGCACATAACAACAACAACAACAAAGTAAAAGACATCCATACACCACATAGGCTCACAGAAGGCAACAGACATGCTTACCAAACTGTTATGATTTGCCATAACATGATACTTCATCCCTGCCAGTGAACGAAGCTGTTTCCCACAATGATGACAAGTAAACATTTCCTAAAAGGAAAAAATACTGCTCAATCCCAGGCTGTTATCAGAGAACCAGAATGACACAAAGCTCAACTCAAAATGCTCTGTCATGTCTGCTTTACTTCCCAGACTCAATATTCAATGAATCACAAAACCCCATAAAGCTCAGTGCTATGTCCTTATAGGCAAAGAAGTAAAGACAGCTCATTTTCAAAATAAGAATTACCATTTACTGAGTGTCAATATTTGCCAAGGAACAGGCTAGACACATTTGGTATTTATTATTTCTTTCTTAACTTCATGTAGACCATGTAAGATAGCTATTATTGTTTTATCCCTTTTATAAATGAGGAAACCCAAGGTTCACACAAAAAAATTTAATGACGTAATTAATAAGAGGCTGAGTGAGGATTCAAATCTAAATTTGTCACACTCAAAGTCTATTTTTTTTTATTACACAATCCTGTCTCTTCTCCACTGTGACCAGCATACCTGACGTACTACTAGAGGTCTAAAGATCCTAATAGTTACAGATTCTAACCTGTCTGCAGTTTTCCATGTGTTTCTTTAAACCTTCTATGGTTTTCCTCCCCACTGACTGACAGGTAGGACAGGACACACTGCCCTTATCCACGATTTCTAAGTACCACTGCTCCTCCAAACTGCCTACAAAAGAGAGAAAGAAACACTTCATAATCTTCAGTACATAGGTAATTTACAGAAACAAAAAAATACAATCCCAGAAGTTAATAAAATTATCATGAACTGGTTTTCCTCTTCCCAGTAGACCATAACAAAGAGACTCTTGCTGTGTATAATTTCTAAAAATCTTTTTTTTCCTTTCAGAAAGTGAAGCATTTCTAAAACCCTTACTCATTTCTCCATAATAATAACAATCTGAGACCCTCTCTGATGCCAAGTGTCTTAAAAAAAACTGGGCAACATTTTCACAGCAGGATATAGCAATGGGATACTGAAATATGTAACAGACAGCTTAAACAGTGTTGACTATATGTCTGAGATTATTCAAAATGTTTTTATACCATTTAATTTTTTTAACAATCCTGTCTTTATTATTCCTGTTCATAGACAGGAAAAGGGAGCCCTGGTGGCAAAGTGGTTAAGCGCTTGGCTATTAACTGGAAGGTAAGTGGTTCAAACAACCAGCAGTTCTGTGGGAGAAAGATTTAGCAGTCTGCTTCCATAAAGATTACTGCCTTGGAAACCCTAGGAGCATTTCTACTCTGTCCTATAGGGTTGGTTGCTAAATCAGAATCAACTCAACAGCACACAACAACACAAAAGGAAACTGCGGCCTAAGGAAGTTAAATATATTAAACAAGGTCAAAAAGTTCATGAAGAATCAAAAGTTAAACAACAGTCTGCCTGACCTCCAAATCCATGTCCCCTTAAAGATATGCATTTTCAGGCAACAATAACAAAAATTAACAATGAACTAGATCCCACAAAGCTTCCATCAGAAAGCATACCTGCTGGATAAGCTGGTGGTTCCTTCCGAATACGACGAGTCTGGGGTTTGGGGTTAGGCTGAGTTTTAGGCCGTTGTTTCCTCCCTGATGCAAGACAGAAACTTGAAGCCCAATATATCAGCTCTGCTAATCCCTCTCTAAGTACCAAAATCTCTTCCCTCTCCTTCTCAATATCCATTGTTCCATTCCCTCAACTGACCTACTCCCTTAAATCATAATAGTAAAAGGATAAAATAAGAAATGATGAAGACCATTCTTTTCCCCAAAATTCAAAGAACTCAAAAGTCCTTCAAGAGAGCCAAAACCTAAGGTTTCCTGCCTCTTTATCCTCAAAGAAGAAAGCCAGTAACCCAAGGAGAAAAATAGCAAAGTTACTCCCTTACCATAAAGCTTATGTTTCTTCTGAGGAAATTCTCGATAGTCTTCATCTTCTTCCTGCCTGGGTTTCCTTCTTCCTTTGGTTGATACTCCACCTGATCCTGAAGTACCATACAGAAAGCAAAACAAAACAAAAACTTAATATGGTTTGTAAATGAGTATCTGGGCCTGCCTTCTGAACACCATTCACAACACCATCAAAGGGAAAGATCATAGTAAGCAAGGCCTCACACAAGACTGACATTTTTCAGGAAGCTGGTATAACATTTCCTTAAATGACCCAATCCCCTCTTTTCCTTAGTTCTTCATCTTAAATAGCCCTAAAAATGGATGAGGGCCTTTAGGCAGTGTTTTTTTTAAATCTTGATTTGAGGCAAAAGAATCAAAAGTATTTAAGACAGAGGGCTAACTACCATTACCAGGGACCCTTGAGACTACAACCTCCAAAAGAATATTCTATGGAGAATAACCTTTATTCCACCCCTAAACCTGTAAGAGAGGAACAAACCAAAACAACAGGAAAGAAGTCGAAATAAATGAAAAGGCTGATACAAAGTATAAAGTAGCAAGATGAGCATAATTTTACCCCCTAAGATAAAGGGACAATTCATGAAGTTAACAGTATGTAATAGCCTAACACCTTAAATTTTTTTAATCATTAACAAGAAAAACATACGTGGCATTTAATACTTTAAGAGCTTTTTATAATAGCTATTCAAAGTGTAACTTTAGAAACTGCTCTGTCTTTGGAATAAAACACTGATACTAATACCTTCAACACGGGAAGTAGCAGCTGACTTGATCTTTCTCATCTTCATCATGTAGGGAGATTTTCGGAAGGATGATGGAAAATCACTCACTGGTTCACATGAAGAGGCAGATGATGAACCACTGAAGGAGTCATCGTGAGGGATAATGTACTGGAAGCTATTATCCTTTATGGAGCACCGGTTCCTGATTTTAACATGACACAAAGATATATACCACAAAGAAGGACCTGAAGTTTCTGTTAATTAACTTATATACTAAGAAGATAACAAAGTTAATTACCAGTACAAAAAAATAAGCCTGGTAATAAAAACATAATTTAGGTTGTAATCTCATAAAAATGATAATGATTGATCTAATATGACTCCTACAATTATTATCACACTTCATTGTAAACAGAAAGAGTAATCAGTCCATATAAATGATCACTTTGCCGCCCAAATAGGCAGCATTCCTTCCTGGATTGAGCTTAGAAAAGAAACTAAGTAAAATAGTAGAGGTGTTCCGTGACTCTTCAGAAGATCCCTGGATATGTAACCAGCTAAGTCCAGGCCTCCCTATTTCTGTGACAGAGGGACTGTATCTCAACAGGTATCCTTGAGAACAGGGAAGAAAAGTTTACCCTAGTCTGATCCATCTTCCTTTGCCTCCTTCCTAAACTCTGATGCAGGACCATACTGTCTTATTTTAAGCAACATGATACTCAGTTCCCACAGCTAAAAGAAGGGTACTATCTTGTCTTAGGAGCTCTGGTAGCACAGTGCTTAAGGCACTTAACTGCTAACCAGAAGGCTGGCAGTTCAAACCCACCAGCGACTCCTCAGAACGAAGACTGGGCAATCTACTTCCGTAGTGATACTGCCTCAGCAACCCAAGGAGGGGTCGCTATGAGTCAGCGCCAACTCGATGGCACATAACAACAACAACAACAATCTTAAGATGGCTAGAGAATTCTGGGGTACAAAGGAACCCTGATTCCCAAACTTAAGACTACTTGGTATGTCAGTCAACATATATTATTCAGTAACTATAAAGTATCATGCGTTCTTCTAGGTGGCTTAGCAAAGTCATGATAGTCTTCATCTTATTTTACCTTTCATCTGCCTTATTTTATTATCTCACTGTCATGACTCAATAGTCACTGGAGGGAACGGGGCATCAGCTGTTGAGAGGGAAGAGATTTTGATACTAGAGAGGGGATAAAAGAGGTAATATATTGACCTTCAAGTTTCTGTCTTGAATCAAGGAGGAAACATCTCAAAGTGTGGTCCATAGACCCTGGGACCTCCTTTTCCAATTAAGTATCTGTGTGAGGCCTGCTTTAGATACTTGGTTCAGAAAGATTACTCTGGCTGCTATATGGAAGACAGCCTGCGGGGCAAAAGTCAAAGAAAGCAAAAGAGCAGGCTGTTGCAATAGTGTAAGATGTAATGAAGTTTGAACTAAGGTTTTATAGTGATGATGAGAAGCTGGCAGATTCAAGATAACATTTTAGAGATAGAGTTGACAAGAATTAGAGATTTGTTTGTGATAGCACAGAGCTGCAAGTAACACAGATGACCATACTTAGGAAAATGTGTTATGTAAAATGTAATATATGCTTATGAGGAAACAGCATATAGCTGTTAGAAGAAAAATTTTGCACACAGATATGAAGGTAACTGAAAAATACAGTGCTAAATGGAAAAAAAAAAAAGTAAGATCTCTTAGTACAATGCCATTTCAGTAAACATGTTTACACATGTGAAACAGCACTAAATATTTAACAAAGGTTAAAACAGCCTTAAGGAGTACCTCAGTAGTGCAAACAGTTAAGCGCTCAGCTACTAGCTGAAAAGCTGGAAAGCAATTCAAACCCCCATAGAGGCACTTTGTAAGACAGGCCTAGAAATCTACCCCATAAAGCTCACAGCCAAGAAAATTCTATGGAGCAGTTCTACTCTGTAACACACAGAATCACCATGAGTCAGAATCAATCCAATGGCAACCTATTTGCTAGTTTTATTTAGGCATTTACCAAAAGAAACAAAAACATTTGTGAACATGAATGCTCACAGCAGCTCTATTCGTACTAGCCAAAAAATGAAAAGAACCCAAATGTCCATTAGCAGGTAAATAACTAAACAAATTATGGTATATCCCTGAGTAGGGAATTCTACTTAGCAACAAAAAAGGAATATAACTACTGATAAATCCAACCTCAACATTATGCTAGATGAAATGAAATGAGTCAAAAAAAAGAGAATATGCTGTTAGGATTTCATTTATACAAAATCCCAGTACATGCAAACTACTAGATAGTGACAGCAAACAGGTCACTGGTGCCTGAGGACAGAAGTGAAGAGAGGAGTAATGCAAAAAGACACAAAAGAACTTCCCAGGTAGATGAAAACATCATCTTGATTGTTTTACAAGTACATAGTATGTCAAACTGATTCAAAATGGCCAAAACCAGTCCATTTCAGCTCACTAATGCCGTTTGAAAAGGAATGGCATGGCATTCATCCTCACAAAGCATGTTTCAAGATTTGTCCTGAAGTACAATGCTGTCAGTGCTAGGATAATATCCATACGCCTACAAGGAAGACCCGTTAATATGACTGGTATTCAAATTTATGCCCAACCACCAAAGCCACAGATGAGGAAATTGAAGAATTTTATCAGCTTCTACAGTCTGAAATTGACCAAACATGCAATCAGGATGTGTTA